TTTTTTTTTTTTTTTTTCAGAAAGAGCTCATCTGTTTAGTTAGCTGGTAGCCGGTGAGATCCAACAACCAGCATTACCGTGAGAAAGGATTTTGTTTGAAAAGAAGAAAAAAAAAAAACAATGTGCTTTTTTTTTTTTTTTTTAATAAATCGCTCATCTAACCAAGTGTGTGTTTGAATCTAGCGTCTTACACCGGTATAACATTAGCCGCAGTTGCTGTTTTTTGCTCGTAACACTGGGCCGTTTAAACTCGGGTGTTGAAGCGTTTTTCTCATGGTCACGGGAGAGTCGTCCCCACAGACACAGACAGGCATTTTCCGGGAGCAGGGAATACCAAATGGGACTGGAGGAATTTGCAGCATCTTAAAGATCATTTAGGGGAAAAAACCGAGGCCATTCAGCCGAGAGCAAGGGGTGGTGGCGGACGGACTACATCGCCGGGGCCGAGGTGTCTGTTGCATTGGGAATACACTGTTTGTTTACACGTTTCGTCTCGGCGGAAAACTGAGGGATGTGAACGCAAAACGGATTCATACGAGAGGAGTTCATACATGCACGACAACTTGTGCCAGCTGCCAGGTGTGTTTATTGTTGTTGGCTGAATATTGTTTATTGCCGGGGTAGGATATCATCTGACTGTACAGCTAATACGACAGAGGCCCCGCTTCACTGTGTACTCCTTCCTCCTGTTTTTGACCAGGAGTGTTGGTTAACAGATATGCTATAGGTAGTGTATTTGTTTTCCTATAGTGTTTTGGACGTCCCCCCCCCCTGGCAACAACAGTGTCCCTACAATTCATGTATGCCCCGACACCATTCTCAAAATCCCTGCCTACTTCAGACGAATGCCAGAGAAGGACGCGCCAGGAAATCGCCTCATCACACTCTGGAAAATGTTAATCGGATATAATTTGCTGCAAATCTAGAACCGGAAGCCCAATGAGTGACACACAGTCCAGCTTCACTGACAGGTACAGTATATAACCCACCTTTTTATACTCTATTAATGCACTGTATGCGCTGCAACATGCACACATGGAGTCCTTTAAAGTCATAAAACACAACATTTTGTTGCCAAAAAAAAGTTTCTTGATTTGGTTGTGATGAATCTGAAACACAACCCACAGCCCCTGGTGAAAATATGTTTTACATGGTCCAAGTAAAGCACTTCTTTGTGGTGCTGGTGCTCAGTAATAACTGTGTTATACAGTCTAATTACTAAGGAAGGACATCAGAGCTCGATGGAAACTCTGCTGATCTCAGCATGGGTAATGGAGTTCTCTGCAGACAGTAAAGTACTACTTGTCCAAGGAGTGAGAAGGCCTGCCGCTGTTTGTGTGCCAGGGAGCAGGTCGTCTGTGATCCCTGTACACCTTTCAACATCACTATTACAGCTAAGCCTTTAAAGCTAACCTTCCCCTACACCTATTAAAACAATCTCTGGATTTAGACAAAACCTTAGCTTTGTCAAGTAATCACCTTATCTAAGGCATCAGTCAGTGTAAACTCAAGGATTGGACGCTTGCGCTTCAGACTAGCAGGCTAAATAACGTGGCATGGCCTGAACAACACAGCAAAGGGCCTGTACCATCTTAAAGCCATTGTGGTGTACGTTGTCAATTTGCCTCTCACTGTAAAATGACAACAGTGTTTTTGTACCTGGAGAATAAAGAGGTTTCTATTCTCAATTTGATGCACTCTGGTAGTGAAACAGAGAAGTGAAGCTGTTGCATTACGTCGTTTCCCACGTGAATCCCACATACCTGCAGGAAGGGGAAGAAAAAAAAAGCCCGGCCAATACAGCGGAATGTGGTCTGTAGTTTTAGAGCAGAAGGAAGCTTTGTTGCACAGGTTGGGATCTGAAATATCCTCATGGCTAGGGCATGAGCTAGAGGCTAAAGCCCAACCCCGTTTTACATGACCCCCCTCCCCCACTGCAATGATGGCAACAGGGGCTGGCACCAACTGCTGTTTATTGTGTCCTTAAAAGACTAAACCAATAGATACCATCCTATCTGTGACTGCTTTCATCTGTGAAATGAACAAACCAGTGTTTTTC